TCTAATATGCTGATTTACTGCTCAAGAAACATTTCTGATTATCATCAATGTTGAAAACAGTTCTAACAGTTCTATTCAGGTTCCTTTATGAACAGAAAGTTCAAGTTTACTGTCATTTATGATCAATTTAATGCATTTAATGCAAATAAAATAACTAATTTCTTAACTTAAATTGTTTAAATAAAATCATCTGAGGGTTATCATACCATGAAACAAATCGCTTGGCATCAATAACAGATAAGGAGCTGTATTGCAGATTTACTTACATAAAAATGTCCCAGGTAGGGCTGCGGGTGAGGATGTTTCCCGTTACCATTAGTCGCAGCATTTTCCAAGACAGTGGCATCCTTCAATTCGATCCCAGAAGAGCTGTCCCACAGGAAACCTGAGTACTCCGCAGCCTACAGGATCACAGCACAACCTCAATAATGACCGGAATCTGACAAATAACATTCATAACCCAACAACCGTCCTACTATACAACAGAAAAAGCACATGACAGCATCATATATAAGGAGCCTGTGCAACTCTTACACTTTATTCCAAGTTTTCTGAAATCATATGATAGCTTTTTGTGAGGAAAAACTGAAATTTAAGTGATTTTTGAAAAACACAGTTGAAAGACCAATCAACAGTAAGGGGCGTGTCCACTAATGACGGGGGAGGTGCGTGTTTGCTTGTTTGTGAATTTGGGGGTGGAGCTATCAAGATAGGGGTGTGATCCATTTGGGAAGGGGCGTGTTGTTTTGGTCATTTTAATTATCAACAGTGTTCATCAGAAATGCTTACTGCACCTTTAATGCCTGTTCACACCAAGAACAATATCTATAATACCTATAACAATAACTATACTAGCATCCACACCAATGCATACTAATGTCCTGTTTATTATAACCGCGCGATGCAGCCTGCCACTTTAAATGCTGAAGCTTTTTAAAAGGAGGATGGATTTACATTATATTTAAATTATTTTAAATTTACAATGATTTTTCAAACTATTTCTTTATTATTATAGTTTAGGCCTTTACTTCTCTGAGAACACAAGTATGGAAAAGTACAGTCAAGAAATTCTGCTAAATATCTCCTCCTGTGTTCAAAGGAATAATAATAATCATACGGGTTTGAGGTAAATGATGGCAGAATTTTCCGATTTTATTTAATCCAATACAGTGCTGTTATTGTTATATGAAAACTAAAACTATTCAATTTGTTTTAATTAGTTAAAATAAAGCTGAAATAAAATATTAATAGAAATATTAGATGCAAAAGTTAAACTTTTTTTTATTTCAGTTAGTTGCCAAGGCAACATTTCTCATTTTTTTAAACAAAAATGAATAAAACTGAAATAAAAGCTAAACAGAAATATAAACAAAAATGAATAAAAATGACAAATTGCTCAAACTAAAATTAAAATGAGACCTGAAAAATAAAAGCTCATTCAAAATATTACTTATAAGTACTATTATAGTAAATAACAATGCTAAAATAACTCTGATCCAAGAAAGATAATACATTTAATTACATTTATGATTAAATGTTTGGGTTCAGTAAGATTTTTAAATGTTTTTGAAAGAAGTCTCTTATGCTCACAGCTGCATTTATTTATTGAAAAATACAGTAAAAACTGTAATATTGTGAAATAATATTAAAATTAAATATTTAAAATTTTAGTATTGTAAATTACAATACTAAAATAACTCATGATCCACTACCCTTTGAAACAATGGCTGCCAGACAGGACAAGTGAAGCGTTTCCCAGCAGCACAAGACACAGAGGCCGCAGATTTGCATAGATAGAGAGTGTATGAATTGTGGATTGTTCATGTGACTCTGCGTGTTTAGCTTAAGGCCACGGGATCATCATGTCAGTTTGGTTTTTACATGTAGGGAAGACAGTCTTTGTGTCTGATGTCCCATTGATATGCACAGATAAGAGATCAGGGGAAAAGTACACACTGCTCGCGTGCATCACAGGACATCTCTATTGAAAGTGTCATCAGGTGCGGAGTTTGTATTGAAAATGAATGGCGATTGTGGAAATGAGAACCAGGATTCAGCCTACACACACTTCTTAAAACAGGAACCTGAATTATTAGAAGACTTACAGACACTTTCTTTCTCTGAAAACACATTGCGGTAATCAGTTATCACACATATTTTCAGCATCATTACTCCAGTCTTCAGTGTCACATGATCCTTCAGAAATCACTCTAATATGCTGATTTACTGCTCAAGAAACATTTCTGATTATCATCAATGTTGAAAACAGTTCTAAGTATTTTTTTCAGGTTCCTTTATGAACAGAAAGTTCAAGTTTACTGTCATTTATGATCAATTTAATGCATCCTTTGTGAATAAAATAACTAATTTCTTAACTTAAATTGTTTAAATAAAATCATCTGAGGGTTATCATACCATGAAACAAATCGCTTGGCATCAATAACAGATAAGGAGCTGTATTGCAGATTTACTTACATAAAAATGTCCCAGGTAGGGCTGCGGGTGAGGATGTTTCCCGTTACCATTAGTCGCAGCATTTTCCAAGACAGTGGCATCCTTCAATTCGATCCCAGAAGAGCTGTCCCACAGGAAACCTGAGTACTCCGCAGCCTACAGGATCACAGCACAACCTCAATAATGACCGGAATCTGACAAATAACATTCATAACCCAACAACCGTCCTACTATACAACAGAAAAAGCACATGACAGCATCATATATAAGGAGCCTGTGCAACTCTTACACTTTATTCCAAGTTTTCTGAAATCATATGATAGCTTTTTGTGAGGAAAAACTGAAATTTAAGTGATTTTTGAAAAACACAGTTGAAAGACCAATCAACAGTAAGGGGCGTGTCCACTAATGACGGGGGAGGTGCGTGTTTGCTTGTTTGTGAATTTGGGGGTGGAGCTATCAAGATAGGGGTGTGATCCATTTGGGAAGGGGCGTGTTGTTTTGGTCATTTTAATTATCAACAGTGTTCATCAGAAATGCTTACTGCACCTTTAATGCCTGTTCACACCAAGAACAATATCTATAATACCTATAACAATAACTATACTAGCATCCACACCAATGCATACTAATGTCCTGTTTATTATAACCGCGCGATGCAGCCTGCCACTTTAAATGCTGAAGCTTTTTAAAAGGAGGATGGATTTACATTATATTTAAATTATTTTAAATTTACAATGATTTTTCAAACTATTTCTTTATTATTATAGTTTAGGCCTTTACTTCTCTGAGAACACAAGTATGGAAAAGTACAGTCAAGAAATTCTGCTAAATATCTCCTCCTGTGTTCAAAGGAATAATAATAATCATACGGGTTTGAGGTAAATGATGGCAGAATTTTCCGATTTTATTTAATCCAATACAGTGCTGTTATTGTTATATGAAAACTAAAACTATTCAATTTGTTTTAATTAGTTAAAATAAAGCTGAAATAAAATATTAATAGAAATATTAGATGCAAAAGTTAAACTTTTTTTTATTTCAGTTAGTTGCCAAGGCAACATTTCTCATTTTTTTAAACAAAAATGAATAAAACTGAAATAAAAGCTAAACAGAAATATAAACAAAAATGAATAAAAATGACAAATTGCTCAAACTAAAATTAAAATGAGACCTGAAAAATAAAAGCTCATTCAAAATATTACTTATAAGTACTATTATAGTAAATAACAATGCTAAAATAACTCTGATCCAAGAAAGATAATACATTTAATTACATTTATGATTAAATGTTTGGGTTCAGTAAGATTTTTAAATGTTTTTGAAAGAAGTCTCTTATGCTCACAGCTGCATTTATTTATTGAAAAATACAGTAAAAACTGTAATATTGTGAAATAATATTAAAATTAAATATTTAAAATTTTAGTATTGTAAATTACAATACTAAAATAACTCATGATCCACTACCCTTTGAAACAATGGCTGCCAGACAGGACAAGTGAAGCGTTTCCCAGCAGCACAAGACACAGAGGCCGCAGATTTGCATAGATAGAGAGTGTATGAATTGTGGATTGTTCATGTGACTCTGCGTGTTTAGCTTAAGGCCACGGGATCATCATGTCAGTTTGGTTTTTACATGTAGGGAAGACAGTCTTTGTGTCTGATGTCCCATTGATATGCACAGATAAGAGATCAGGGGAAAAGTACACACTGCTCGCGTGCATCACAGGACATCTCTATTGAAAGTGTCATCAGGTGCGGAGTTTGTATTGAAAATGAATGGCGATTGTGGAAATGAGAACCAGGATTCAGCCTACACACACTTCTTAAAACAGGAACCTGAATTATTAGAAGACTTACAGACACTTTCTTTCTCTGAAAACACATTGCGGTAATCAGTTATCACACATAACTCAACTAGAGGAAAATATCCGGTCTAATGCATCCCAGAGCACCTTGATTCATATTAATATTTACAGTAACGCTCTGTGATGAAGAGCAGACCAGAACGTACATTCTCCTGCAAAATCTCTTTCATTTATCCTACATGACAGCTCAGTTTCTGTGGAGTTTATATCTGTGTGGGTTAACAGCGGCTTGTGTTTATCCAGACACCTCTAGACACGGGTCAAGATCTTTAACTATTGTTTAAGTGTTATGGCTTTATTCATGTCCTTCATCCTTAAAAGGCAAGTGCTGTTGCAAACAATCTGTTTTTATTTGCATTCTGTATGCTGTAGCCGCAGATATTTGCTAGTTCAACATTCAAAGGGGTCATTACATAAGAAATCAAATTTGCCTTGATCTTTTGGCATATGAGAGGTCTTTGTACCATTAAAACATCCTGCAAGTTTCATAGCTTAAAACGTCCTCCTCATTATAAACAAAATATTTAATCAAGCTCCAAAAACAGCTCGTTTTGATCTGAGGAGCAAGTTGACGTCACGGGGGCACAAACATTTGCATAAACACCGCCTCCAGAGCAACACATCGACGAATAGTCTTCTTCTCACCGTAGGCCCCGCCCACTGGCGTTCAGTCGCTTAACGGCTGACACTTGATTACGCTGAATGCGAGTGTCGCGTCGCGTCAAAAGCAAATAGAAATGACAATCACTGCCGCTATCTTGTCTACACTGGATACAGTATGCAGATGCGCGTAAAATAAAAATCAATGTCATGACCCCTTTAAGTTCGCATACATGCGTAGGGCTGCACAATTAATCGAATTTCTAATCGCAATTACAATTATGGATGCCACAATTACGTAATCGTTCAAAGCGGCAATTAATCGTTCAAAGTCCACTTATGTTATTCTGCGTGCTTAAGATGCGTTTTTTTACTTTCTACATGTTATCTTAAGGCTTTTTCACATTATTTTAATTTTAGTTTTAGTATAACATTATGATACAATTCATATTTTTACTTTTTTATAATTTAAAGAAGAAACCAATCCGATGTATAGTTGACATTTGAGGCTTAATACTATAGAAAAGCACTAAAAGTTTTCAGTTAGAGTGTTTTCAGCTTGTTTATTTTCATATAAAAATATAGCATGCAGTTGCCATTAAACAATGGTATAAACATCATTCAATGTAAATTGTGATAATCGTAATTAATAAATCGCAATTACAATTTCAAGGGAATAATCGACAATTATGATTTTTGTCATAATCGTGCAGCCCTATACATGCGTGTGTGTATTAGGGGTTGAACTACTTCTGATTTTTTGAAGTCGACTTTTATGTGATGAACGTCATTAATGTGTGACGTCATTAATGAACAAATAAGTCTGGAGCTGTGATAAACAGCTTGTGCACAGCTATGGCATATGACACAGCGCTGCCCACATGGCTGTTGCTCCTATAACAGCTTTTTTATCAGTACTTTTGTCTTTGGGTCGTTATATTTCTCACAGATTTCTGCTCGTTCTAAATCAGATCGTCATTTGAACTGTTTGGAAACGGAGCGTAAATGTGGAAGCCCTTCAAAGATTTCTTATCCTGTTGCGCCCTCTATAGGACCAGCGACTAGTCGACGTCAGGAATGTAGGCTCAACAGACCTCTCCACTCATGTCAAAACAAACCAAAAACTAAAACAAAACCCTCAAAAAATCCCCAAATTCAGGTGCCACACGTGTGTCTGCTCTGCATCTTGTGGGTTCTGCTGGAGAATCTGTAAATTGCACAATGAGGGACAGGTGTCCAGGAGTCACTGCAACTAAAGACAGGTGATGACGCCAGACAGAGCTTTGGCATTGTGTTTGTCAATGGATTCGCTAAGGCAGGTACAATCTAATTTACACTGTGAGCTAACCAAGCGAGGCGATGGACCAGTGGATTCCCACACATGATGATGGTGATGGTGAACACTGGTGAGCATGAACCATCACTGTTTACACTGGCAGCTGTCTCTCTTTAACTCTGCCCACTGCACAAACAACAGTTCTAGCTACAGAATGTGTTTTAATAGTCAAAGTATTGGTGAAAAACTACACTACCTGTAATCCTGAAGAGAGATCCACAAGAGAAACAGTGTTATTTTAGTATTATTTATATCCTGTTATAAATATTTACATATTTACAAATAAAAATGTAGTATTTATAAATATTTTGAATTGGCTTTTATTTTTTGTTTAATTTCAGTACATTTTATTTTTTATTAGTTTTAGCTTTAATTTATTTTTAATTCAGTTTTAATGATTTTAGTACTTATTCAGTACTTTAATACCAACTTAAAAAAAGTTTATATTACAAGAACTTATTTTAAGTTTTTTGTCTACTACTTCTTTTTTTTTTTAAGCAACAAGTAGTGAACATTAACAGTACAGCAGAGAAGTTGATGTTACAATAAAATAAAATAAAATAAAATAAAATAGAAATATATAAAATAAAATAAAATAAAATAAAATAAAATAAAAATCACTGCAAAAGAGCTCAGCAGGAATCGGTCAAGGCCTTGTGAAAGATGTTACTGAAAATATTTATATATTTCAATACTTTGCAATAACCTTAACATATAAATATATTTATATAAAAACAAAATTGTTCTTATCTGTTAGTTTGACGTTAAAAACATTTAAAGAAATTAGTAGTTCATTCACTAATGGAATTTTTTTTTTTTTTTTTTTAAACGTATTTTTTTCTATTTTTTCATATATTATGTATTTTATTGCAAAAGTCTGTAATGCTGTTATTCATCTCAGAGTTGGTTAGTTTGGTTCATGACTTTTTTATTCATAATAAGTTATCATTAAAGTCTCTTTCCTTTAATGTTTTTTTTTTTTTAGAAAAATTAAAAAATTAAAAAAATTAAAAAAGAAAAGAAAAGAAAAAAAAGATAAAAATAAATAATTAAATAATTAAAATAATAAATAAATGGGAAACTTCCAAAACAACTATTGGAATGAATGAATGAATGAATGAATGAATGTAACCATTTATATCAATAACGTTTAGCACTGCATGAAAAGTTTATAATCTGCATTTTGTTTTTTTTAATAAATTGACATGGATCAATTGACAAGTGCATGATAGTGATTAACATATTTGGCAATATTTTGGGGAAGTTTTCCGATAATGATTGATAGACTGATATCATAATATTTATATATTACTCCGAGAGACCATGCAATAACAGTCTAAATATAAAAATATTTATGGCGTCTCTGAGTCATTCGTTCTTTATGCCACCCACACATTGACCTCAACCAGGACACGAATCAATACCGTTTTCATACCCTTAGAAAGAGAGATAATTAAAGATCTATAACAGATATGTAGCAAATTCAAAGAACGCTCAGCTTCACTGGGCAAATGACTGGCACTTTCCATGAAAACATGCAAGGCAATATTGTGCTCTAACTGAGAGAAAGAGACACAAGCGGAAAGACTGAGTAAGATGAGGAGAAGGAGACAGAAGTGTGAGTTTTTTAACAAGAGCTCCAATTTGCTCGCTAATAAACTCGATGATGATGACTCACGGCTCTGATGTCTGAGGGAGGTCTCGCTTTGGTCATGAGGAGTTTGGTGGAAATATGCGTTTATAGCAGAGCAACAGCCAAACCACAAACTCCATGGAAACCGAGACAAGCTATAAACAAACAGCCCAACAATCACTCTGCCTTCTTCAGATCTATGCCTCTATGAGATCGCAAAATACATTTTCAGCAGGCCTACACATTTAAAATCAGCATGCAATGAAAATTCACCCAATTTACTAAATGCATGTTATATTGCGAACAGTTCAACCATACGTTTACTTTTTGTTACTTTTTTAATTAAAATATCATAACTCTTCTGACGTATGCTGAATGTTTCTTACAACTGCCCTCAAGGTCTGCCTCCATCCAATCTACACCATCACGACTCTTCCAGGAAAACAGACCACAAATAACTGATGAAATCTCTTGCTGAAGCACATACAAAATGCACTTTAAAATAAGAATGTAGTCATAGCAGCACTTCACTATATCCCAAATTCCTGTTTAAACATTAATAAAATAAACATTAATCAGAAGTGTCAGCATTCCATGGATAGCATCTGGAATTCCATTATTTCCTAAATGCTGTCTAAACAGAGTTAATGTCAGATTGTAGCAGGAGTCCAGAGAGGCATTCAGGAGCCCACACCATTTCATTCTGGGCCAGAAGTCAGAGAAGTGCTCCTTTTTTCTATCTCTGTCCGTCCAGTCAGCACTTGCAAAAGCAGTCTAGAGGAAAGAACATCATGCTGGGTTCACTGCGGCATAACAGCAGCAGAGCTGTTAAAATCCCTCATTCACGCCCCATATGACTCTCAGCCACACGTGATGGAGTCGAGAAGAAAGAGAAAACAGCAAGGAGAAGGAATCAACATGAAGATCGCAAACAGAGAATAGTAAATGGTATATTTCCAGACACTTTTTTCCAAAGCATTCTATAGTACACTATAAAAGAAATAAATAAAAATCCATGAAATTCACAGTGAAAACGACAGGTGTAGTCCCCAGAAGTTTATTTTATATCTTATTTTGCAAGTTATTTTCTGTGAATGTGCAAGACTTCCAATTCATTAGCCACTATAGGTTAATAACTAGAAGAATAAAGTGCAGTAAATGGTAAAAGTATCTTGTGCAAAGCAGTGTGTTTATAATAATAACATAACACATATAATATAATACATAAAAATAATATGATAAGAAATACTCTTTTGCAGTATCAAGCAGCATAAAGTGCTGTTTTACACAACTAAAAATAACTGGAAGTTGACGAGACCCGAAGTCTCTGCACTGTTCTTATAGGGTGGATATAGCAACAAAGTTTTACAGATTGAACTTAAATTTACAGTAAAAAAAAATATTTACTGAAATATATAAGAAAAAAGTAAGACACACCATTATTTCACTGAAAAACCATTAAATGTGTGCTTTTTCAAAAAGAATTCTGGGAATATAAATTTATGTTTTTCCGCTGTAAATTATTAGAGAAGTTCTTTTTTTACTTCCATAAACTGCACTTTTTAAAGTATTTTACTGTTAAATTACACTAAAAATGCCCCATTAAATCTATTACAGTTTTACACTGTATAGAGTATAAGAATTTACCATTAACAGGTTTATACCGTAGCATTTTTACAGTGCTTTACCATTAAAATTACGCTAATGTAAAGGAGACCTATCATGCCTCAAGTCTCATGTGAATGTGTCTGTGAAGTTTCAGCTCAAAATACCCCACAGATAATTTATTATATCATTTTGAAAATGCCTATTTTGAGTGGAAGCAGAAACACGCTGTTTTCGTGCCTGTCTCTTTAAATGCAAATGAGCTGCTGCTCCCCGCCCCTTTTTCCAGAATAGAGCTGCGCCATTACAGCTCATTCCTCAGATACTCCGCTAAAAAACATCTGTATGGTTTTGATTATTATGTCTATCGTGCTGAAATCATGCGTTTTAAAGCCATATTCGTTTAAAATTCTGATATACTGTTTTCTAAGCGCACACATCCGAAGCACGAGCACAGAAAGCGGCTGTCACGCGGCATGTGAGTACTAAACTAAGTTATGTTTCATGTCAGGGAAAGAAATTGTATGTTTATATTAGATCAGTGTGGCGGCAGCGTAATATACAGTAAATAAATCAATAAATCCACTGCTCTTTGGACTCGTCAGTGCAGCCAAAGACAGAACTGTTAGCATGCTTTGCTCAAACTTTCTCTATGGTGTTAAAACTGGTACAACGTTGTCACTTGCGAAAACACAATGGCGGCGCCGTGGGTGGAAACTTACAGAATATGGGGCGATAATATTATAATAAGGTCTCCTTACCATGTCACCGGGGGAGCGAAATCTGAGCGGCTCGTTTTTTCACAAGCTTGCTGAGAAAGGCTTACCAAAAAAATTTACTTGGTTGTTCTTTTTCACGTTTTCTGGGTTGGTAGATGCACCAGGGACCTGATTATAGCACTTAAATGAGCATTTTCATGATATGTCACCTTTAAATTTTGAGTTATTAAATTACTGCACATTTACATGAAGGTTGACCTCGGCTTAGTGCCAGTGATAACAGTTCCTCGTGTCGCCTCAGATTTAAACATAATTCCTACTCTCATTAAAACAATTATTTTAGGTCACATTGTTATTGAAAATCGCTGAAAATCGCTGTATGCCCCTTCATAGGGATAATTGCCCTGGACCTCAAGGGCCCAATGGTGATCAGGTTCAAAGCTGGCAATCTGCAGGGATTGAACCAGCAACCTTCCCATCACTAACCCTATACTTCAGCCACTATGCCACGCCAAAAATCAACAAGGTGTGTCCCAGAAAGACAAGCAGGAGAGCTCTCTACTCTGCAGTGAGAGAGACAGAACAGAAATAGAGTGCGAGTGAAAGAGGAGAGGGGAGAAATATGGGTTGATTCTGCCCTAGTCCTCTCACTGACAAACTGCTGCTCTGCTAACCTACTTTACTAGTTATTTCCCAGCATCAGGCAGAGCGGAGAAGACCTCAAACACAACACACACAGTGCTTTGTGCACATGCTCATGCTGGCACTGATAAGAAGGACACTGCACATAAAAATAACATCTTAAAATAGAAGAGAATCATGATTTTAGTAGGTTAGGTAGAAAATAGAGGAGAGACAGGCTAAAATATAAAAAAATTAATAAAAAAAAACAATAAAGAGATATAGGCTTTTCACACTTGACATAAATACTCATTTTAGCACTGCGTTTTCCTTTGTAATCCTGAATTATCTTTTCACTCTGTTCATGCTTTAAGGATTGTAAACACTGAGTTGACATTTGAATTTGTATATTTGTGAGGTTAATAACATTGACTGGATGAGTATGTAGTGAGCATGATACCTGCTATTAACTCAGCTCAACTTTGGTGCACGCACTGATCTGTCACTCATGTCACCTCAAATGTCAACAGAGTCCAACAGTGCTGCTGGCACACATTTTCAGCGGTGTTGGTACAGGAAATATTTTTTCCCATAGAGATTTGTCTTCATTTAAGAGTGATGAACCAGCAATAGCAAGCTAGCTTTGAAAGCATAAGATCCCACCCTCCCTGCAAATCACTCTCTAAAGCCACACATGACCGCGCTCCAGCAGACCAGAGGCTAACCAGCGACATGATGAGAGACGGCATCAACGCTGTCAGATTACCTCATGTCTCATTCACCGGTGAGAAAACATTACAGTATGAACCGCATAATATTACAATAATACCGCCTTCCATTCTCGCTCGCTCTGCAGTAGCGTAATGGAACGCACTGATGGTGCGTGGAGGTATGCAAATACATACGTTGACAGGCAGGTAGGACAGCCTATCGTAGCCCTCAGACCGAGGAATCTGATTGGACGAACATTTTATGGTCCTACGCCTTTCGCAGACCATTTAAAATACATTTAGACCACTTAACTTGTGATTGCTATCGGGATGTGAAGAGACTTTCAACCAGCATAACAAAAAATGTTTTTGAACCAAATCACCTACCGTGCCTTTAAGACATGAACCAAGCCAACTAGACACAAGGTGAATGAATAACAACCTAAACAAATTCAGATTTGAAAATTAAAAGTATTTGAAAATTGTGTGGGCTGAAGGTTTGAGCAAAAGCATATACCCTCAGTTAACAACCTCATAGATCACAGCATGGTCTGTCTGTAATGGTTTATAAGTTATTGCTAAAAACAATTTCCCAATGGAGAACATTTATTTGGATTTGTACCTCCGCAAACATATAGTTGCACTATTTTCTGACATTTGGTCTATGTAATAGTCAATTTGAAAGTCTTTAACAGCCGGCATAAAGTTTTCTGAAACATTTGGATGAACTCAAACGCTTTTCTTGGCCAAAATTAGTTTGAAATGATGGCACACCCATTTGTTCTTTGATTTGAAGTATATTGGGGCTTTTTAACCACTAAACCACACAAATTTAACAAGGAGGATCAGGTGGTTCTTTATAGAGAGACACAGTGTATAAGTGCAAGATGTGAAACACCAGGCTAGCGTGTAACAGTGTGCTGAAGGGAAGAGGTGTGTGTAGAAATGTAACAGTACCTTGTCTAGAGCCTCACGATCGGCCAAGTCTTGAATCGCTAGCAGCTTAATGCTGGAGAGAGAGAAAAACAAGGCATGTGAGACTCCGTCATAATACCTCTAGTATATAAATCTACAGTAACTGGATATTAAATCAATCAAATTAACACTAAGAATTGATGGCATATATTCAAGGTGTGGGTTCCACCATACAAACAGATCAATGTTCAACAAACAATCATCAGAACTGACTCCTTTAAATCAGCCTGCCAACACTTCCCCCTCCTGCTGTGCGGCGGATCCCTTCAGCATAAATGATATATTATATCTTGTAAACATAATATGAAACTCAAGGTGACGCCAATGGAGGTGATGACAATGCTCTGGAAGCAATGTTGATGATTACATCCCTAATAACTGTTGAGCTGTTTGTTTTGGAAAGTAATTCTCCTGGTTAGTGCTCGAACAATATGATACAGCAAACAGCAGATGGTTCTGTGAATATTACAGCGATAACTTCTCAAACACAAACACATAAGAAGACATGTCAAAGCTGTGCTTTTAATTAAATGAGTGTGTGTGAAGTTAAGCTGAGATATGCTGTCTTGAGAAACACCGAACAAACCCTAATCTGAGCATGATCTCATTTGTCTATGGTGATTACACCCCTCGGTAGTGCTGTTGTACACGGTGATTTACTAATATTTTGAATTAGCTTTTGTTTTTAGATTTTCAGTTTCTATTTTAATTTAACTTAAGTTTTAGTACTTTTATGTGCTTTTCACATTTTTATAAATTTATATTTTTTTAATATTTCTTTACATTTTAAATAAAATAAAAAAATAATTAAATAAATTAAAATATTTAAATATTCTCTTCAGCTTTCATTATTCATTATATTCTCTTTTTCATTTCATTTATTTTATTTCAGATTTATTTCAATTAACAAAAATAATTTTGAATAGTATTAGTTTTGGTTTTTGTTAACAATAACAACACCAAATTAGCTTTTATTTTTATATTTTCAGCTTTCAATTTTAATTTAGCTTAAGTTTTTGTAATATTACGTGCTTTTGACATTTTTTAAGTTTAGTTCTTTTTTGCCTTTTTAAAAATATTTCTTTAAATCTTTCATTTAAAAAGAAATAATTGAAAACAAATATTTGAATATTTAAATATTCTCTTAAGCTTTCATCATATTCTCTTTTTCATTTCATTTATTTGATTTCAGCTTTATTTCAATTAACAAAAATAATTTTAATAGCGTTAGCTTCGGTTCTAGTTGACGATAACAACACTGCTTCTGGAGGACTGAGGACAGAGCAATATGTTAATAAATGGAACGTATAATTAAAATGTAATAATTTACAATGATGAAGCAGAAACTATATTTTCTGGACAGGACACTATGTTGAGTCTGTTAAATCTTCAAAGAAGAAAATGTCTCAAAATATTAATACGTTTTCTCAATATTTCGACACATTCTTCATAGATGTTTTTAGAAAGACCTGCTAAACTCCCATTCCCATCCCAGCATTCACTGTAACTGCTTTGCTCATCACTCATGAATATTCAAGAGCAGACGGCATGACCGGCACACGACACTGGAGCTTTACAACTTCAAACTGGAGACACAAAATCGACATGAAATGAAAGAGCTCAGAGAGCAGCTATAAACACAAATCAATTATACTGTACTGTCAGGAAGAACAGAACAGTCCTGCAGGCTTTCCCAGAGTTCACTGCCACAGTGCATCAATACACAGCAAAACACATACAAGCGCAAGAGTAAACTGAAGGGAGTCACTATTTCAAGGTTAAAATACCTTATTCCTACACTAGCTTATGCAGTCATCTAGAAAGAGGGCGTATTTCTATAGACCAAAACCCAGAAAATATTGCATTTTAGCGCTTCTGGTTCCATCATACTGAAGTCAAAAGGTTTTTGAATGTTTTTGTTGGTTAAATGCCTGTCTATAATTGCACTCTTGCAAACTATTCTAACTCAAACTTTCAGTGATAATGTTCTTAAAGAAACAGTGAAAGAGTCGAAAGCTCAGTGATAGTCATGTGACCGAGGTGTAGTTCATTTACAGCCTACATTTATCTTTTTTACTCCTAGTGATCGTATTTAGGCATAAAAAGTTGTGTTCATTTGTCAAGATTATCATGACAAAAATGTATAAGAATCATAAACCTTTGTTGGTCACAAAGTTTATTTTTTTGCAATAATCCAAAATCAAATGGAAAAATCCTACTGGCTTTTTGTTGAGGGAATCAGGGTGATGTGATCTACAAAAATATACATCACGCAGTGCTTTATTTCCAGTCAATTTGTGTATTTTTGGCCCATAGCAAAAACAGATTCAAGTGAAACCATTCAGAGCAGAATCATGTTGTGTGTCTCACAGTAATGGCGTTCCTGAATGAGTCAATGTTTTGAGCGAATCGGTTGAGTGAGTGAGTTTGGGGCGGGACTACCTGTTTTTAGACCAATGGGAGACGGGGAGAGGGTTCATAAAAGCTGACTGAAATGATATTTTTGCAATTCTGATGCTGCTGGTGCAGAAATTACGCTCTTCACTTTATCTCTGATTATAAAACCTTCCTGGTCTGAGGTCACAAGTCAAGCTGCAGTGAAAGAGAAACAGAAAAACAGAAAGCACTATGCAGGAGAGAATCCATCCTTATTTTCCAGCCAATGCTGAAACTGATTACACAGATCCTGTTTAGAGAACAAACAGTCAGACAGACAACACCCTGTTCCCTTATAGGTGAGCACACTCTCTGTGTGTGTGTGTGTGTGTGTGTGTGTGTGTGCCTGCGGCCCCCACAAGGGAAAATAATTATTAAAAATAGTAAATGCTGTTTATCTGAAAGTGTAACAACGCAAACAGGTTTTCTGTAAGGGGTTTAGGGGTAGGGTTCGGTTAGGGGATAGAAAATGTCGTTTGGTCAGTATAAAAATAATAGAAGTCTATGGAAAGTGTGTGTGTGTGTTCATTTGGTTATGTGATATATGTGTGTGTGTGTGTGTGTGTGTGTTATAAAAACTCTGATCTTTTAAAACCTTGACTAGTTATCAAAACTGGGATCAATAAACACTGAAAACCAAGCAGTTGCTCACTCATAAAATAATAATAACAATAAAATCTCATAAACATTCATAGACATTAAACACACAGTAAAAATGATTATATAAGGTGTAGCAGACATAAATGGCTTTAACTTTCTGATTGACGAGTGAATACCTACAGTATGTATTTTATGATTTTATTTTTGATTTAGTAAAATGACTTGTCTATTGACATAACATAGGACTGTAATACCTCTTCAGCCAAACAGTCATGTTATAAAACAAAAAGATTTTCCCCCTCTGAACTCAACTTAAAATGTTAATTTACAATAATTATACATTTACAATTACAATTATTATTAGTTAACACATGCATCCTGAAATACAGTAACAATTTTAGAAGCATTTATTATTGTTAATCTAGGCTAATATCAATACACTAGTGTTCAGTTTTAATTCATGTTGGTTCAAAATACAATAATGTGAATTAATACAACTTGAAATGTTAAAACTGTATTATCATATGTATAAATGGACATTAACAAATATTAATAAAGCAATGTTCCTTTCAGTCTTCCTTCAGTTTTACCATGCGTCACCCGCTCCCTGACCTTTGAATTAAATGAATGCGTTTTGCTTCTGTACTTTCTTTGCATATGAAATGAGAAACAATGCTTACTGAACTTCCAGTTTCCTCCTTATCACTTCACTCTGACCGAAAGGCAGACATTGTATGCTGTCAGAAATCCAGTCTTTGGAAGAAGATGCTTTTCTGCATTTTGGCTTAACAAATGCTCGTTTTAGACTGAGGAATATGTAAGAAGAATATATAAGAATGCAAATTCTCCTGTTTTGCAGGTGTCCCATGAAGTCTCTGCAAACGTTTGTTAAACAGCTTTTATTATCATATGAAGTGGGACTCGTCGATACATTTTATTTGCTCAAAAGGTGTAGTTTACCATAAACCGCGTGTTTTGTGTGTCACCTTGTCTGCATGGTGTTATACACCTGCAAATCAGAGCTGTGGATTTCCACAGAAGCTTCCAAGAAGGAAATCCACAGCCAAGAGGCTCTCCGTTGAAATTTTCCCAAGTAGGAAACTGGACATTTGGACTCCCAGTTGAAAAGAATGCAAAGTATTCAACAAAACCACACACATGATGAAGAAATGTGTTAGTGAGGGAGTATATGACTCAACAGGCATGGAAAGAGAATCCACTGTAGATTAGCATGCAGTAATGTGTTAACCAGAGGAGGAACATGAACCAGTATCACTGTGTGTGACCTGAAACAGACTAGTAGTCATCAAACAACACCAAGTTCTCCATTCTCTGGCTGCAATCTCCTCACATCATCTCATCCTTAATCTGTTTGGCATTGTGATGTGATTACATTAAATGAGAGGTTTGGCAGCGTAATGTAATCAAACTCAATTGTCTTACATGCAGAATAAAACACATTGTTCTTCAATTTAGCTGATGTATATATATATATATATATTTTTTTTTTTGCGATTAAAGTATTCTAGATTTTTGTCATTGAAACAAAAATTAAAAGAGGTTTCTATTGAAGATGCATTCAAAGTTCTGAACAGAGAAATGTAAAAAAAAAAAATTCAATAAATGATAAAAGGACATCTGAAAGTACAAAATTACAAAATTAAATGTTAATTAATGTAAATGCTAATAGTATATAACTACTACTGAAATCCAAATCATTCTACACATTCTAGAAGAAAGTCCATTTAAATCCATTATTTACATACATTCACAAATTAGCATATATTCACATAAGCAAACAACTCTGTTCCTCAAAGTTTTGCATGTTACAGACAGGGTCAAAGGTTAAAGCAACAACAGCAATGTCCTAATAAAACGGTACAATGATATCTCATGGATAGATATCATTATGTAAGAGCTGTACAACAATAAAATAAAACAATAAAAGCCAGTCTCAAACCAAACCAGAACTCAACCCAAAACACAAAACTTGAGTTA